AATAGTGTTCATTAAGTGAGCAGCACTGTAAAAAGCAGGAGACCCATGGAAACAAAAATCATGTTATTAAAGATTGTATCATAATGTGTTTGCATGCAGGGCGAATTAATGTTGCATGGTTGATCTTAAATCTGATACTCACTAACTTGGTTAACTTTGAAATCCAAATGTTTTTTTTTAGAGAGAGAAAAACAAATCTCTTTTGGGAGTGGCCAGTAGGGAGAGCAGAAGATGTCCAGCTAGGTGCTGGTGTGGGCAGCTAGATACCAGTGTGTGCACAGATAAACACGAGTGTGTAGACAGCTGTCTGCCTAATCTCTGTGTGTGTGTGTGTGTGTGTTTGTGTGTGTGTGTGTGTGTGTGTATGGCTAGCCAGTGTTTATGCAGCTGGCTGATGTTTACCTCTGAAAATGTCTTTTTCTATTAAAAAAAAAAAATAGAAGGGACATTAACAAGTGGTTAACTCCTGGTGTTTAGATGGCAAAGTTTTTACACAGTGTTTTTTGGTCCAGATCTTCCTTTATAGAGCCTCTGCTTGGTTCTGAGTCACCTGAACACCCAAAGTCTGTTTGACTGATGGGTCAAGTGTTTGTGGGAGTTATCATAAGATCCTTCTATGGCAGCATCTTTTATGTCTGTGTTAATAGAAGGGCTGGCATGCTGAGAATTCACGTACACTAGTACCCAAGGTGCATTGGAATGATAAAAAATATTAGCAGATATAATTTGTTATATCTGTGTTTGGTTTGATTACTGTCTTGTATTTGAAATCCTGTAATTAGAGCAGCAAACTGCCTCCAGAGCCAGTGCTGCCCCAGGTAATACAACACTAGTACAAGGTCCTATGTCTTCAGTAGGTGGTTCATTACAAAGAATGAAGGCTGGAGCCCATGTAAACTAAACGTCACCTCTCAAGAGGTGAAGATCACAGAGAGAGCAGGGAAATACTGAAGATTCTCTCTCCCTGTTGAATAACTGAATTAGCAGTACAGATCCTGTGGAATGGGCAGCTCAATCCCCTCCCCCACTAGATGGCACTGAATTCTTTTTCTTTAAAAGAAAAAAAAAAGGAGGAAGAAGAAGAATATGGTGGAGGTCATTTTGATGTTAAAAAAACCCCACAAACCACCAACGAAAAAACCACCAATAGAAAAAAAAAAACAAAAACATGAAAAAAGAGCAAATTGCAAATTGCAGTCCAAACTTTGCCCTTCCTCCCCTTCTAGCCCAAGACCCCACCTCTGTGTACCTTGGTAGAGGCGCTCGCTTTGCTTTTGTGTCTGGAGCTTTCCTGAGAGGCGGTGGGCGCTGGTCGCTGGAGGATGCTAAGGAGAGCGGAAACAATCCCGGGAGGGAATGGAGAGGAGACTGGCCCTATCTGTAAGATAACATCCGTAGTAAGGTGTAGCAGGCAGCGCACGGCTCGTCACAAGGAACTGGCTCTGAACAGACTCACTGGGAGCCGGTTCTCTGTCCCATGCCTTCAGACATTTTTCTGTGCACCCATGAGCTTTAGCTTTCCCTCTGGATCACTGAAATCGTAATCTGCAGAAAAGAAAGCCTCAGCTTTTACCAAAACTGTATTTTCACTCCCTGATTGATTTAAGACCCATGAATTAGCTGCCTTTGCCGAGATGCCCTTAATTCACTGTCGGGAGTGGTTTCTGTGCAGCCCAAGAGTGCATGCAGGGTTTTTTTTCTGAGTGTCTTTCAGCTTACATTCACCTGAAGATTGACAAGGATTGTTTTTTCCCCGCATCCTGTGATGAGGAGGGGGTGGGGTGGGAGGAAGAGAATTTAATAATGATCTGTTTGTGCTGAGAAGGGGCTGTCTGTAATAATCCTGGGAAGAGACAGAGGAAAGGTTCCCGATGCCTACAGAAAGCAATATTCTGCCCCTCCTGAAAAGAGAGGAATAATGATGATATGGGGGAAAAAATTTTGATTCTTAAAGTGGAGTTCATCTGAAATCCAACAATTTCTCCTACAGTTATATATTTAAGGTGACTTGCAGGAGGATGTAGACTGCCATCTGATAAAGCTACAAATGCAAGCAAAAAAAAAAAAGGCATAGAAACTGCCATTGAAATTCCTTTTCAGAGAAAAAGATAAAACCTGGAACTACATGCCAATTTTTGGCTTTCAAATCCCTGTTAAAGAATGAGAAGAGGGAACAAGTTTGGCTTCTCCAGGTACAAAGTCCCCCTGCCCCAAACTATCTTACTGCCTTGGAGTGTGATGGGAAAACCTGGCACCTGGACCTCTCTGGGTCCAACCAAATCTTGGCTCTTTGGACTGTAATCCTAATGTTTAATTAGAAAGAAATGTAGGTATGATTACATTATATGATTTTCCCATCCCTGAATATATCTTTGGCCAGTATCATGAGAAAAACAGTTCTTGTAGCTGGATCCTCCATTTTGCTCTTAGCCTCGGTCTCCCAGTCCTGTGTAAACTGGATATTTAGACAGAAAACAGTTTTGTTTTCCCCTTCACTCTAAATAGAGAGTAAATATAGCAGACTTTTGTGCTTAAATTTAAAACCCAACAATCAACCAAAAAATATGGCTGGTAAAATTAGGTTTGTTCCCTGTTCTCATCCTTCGGCTTGGGACTTGATGCTAAAAATTGACAAAGAAATCCAGGTGCACTCTCATCTCTATGTGGGTGCAATACCAGAAACCTGTTTGTCATCTTCTTGTAGGAGCCAGCAGCTTTTTGACCACAAACCTCTAAATTTTATCTCTGAACAGACAACAAGTATGGCTGCTCCAAGCCCACTATAAAATGTAGGTCTTTTTATCTACTGACATGTGGTTGCTTGAAAAATCCAGTTATAGAAGTGGATCCATCTGTGCTGAACTATTTTTAAAGAAACCTTAGATCCTCAAATATTTGTCTTTATTATTAACAACAAAGGGAAGTTACTGCTAAAAAATTTAAACCAGGGGCCTTGTTTCAATAAAACAATTAACTTTATCTAGAGCTTTCCAGATACAGTTCATATTCATAACATAACAATGAAATCTTGCAATAGAGCTGTTTCAGCAGATATGGATGATTGTAACATCTATGGTTTGGATGATTGACTTTGCCAGTTTCATAAGCATGCAGGGGGGTTGGGGAGTATGGGACATTTCAAACCAAAAATGGTTTAATGGGACAGATATCCTTCTGCAGCTGAAAATCCCAGTTGACCTGGGACCTGGCTTTACCAGGTAAAATGGAAAGAGTCACTTTGCCTTTTTTGATAATACAATTTGGTTTGGGGCCAAAACCTGTTATGATCCAGTCATGTGTGGCTTTTTTTCTTTTTCTTTTCTTTTTTTTTTCCTGTTGCAGCTGTATTCCATGAGAAAATCCAGGTATGTATTTCTGATACACAAAGAGCTACTACATTCCACCTCTGCTCTCCCCATGGAGAGAGGATATAATTTGTGTGGCTAAGGTTAAAAGCTAGTAAAATCCCAGGACTCCCCCTCTTGGGGCTGATGGCTGTCACCAGCTCCAGGGCTCCAGTAAAGGCTGTGCTTATTTTCAATTCAGATGACACAACTTGGGATCCAGGGGCCAAAAGTTGGTAGGATCCAGTGTGGATGTACATTTTTACAGCACACATCTGTGGAGAGGCATCGGGCTGTGGACTTTTTGGTGCAGTAGGAGCAACTGCATTGTTTCCTGTTCATGCTGAGGAGTCGCTGCTGTGTGGGAGCCAAATACTGGATGGGGCTAACTAGGTTCCTCTGCCAGCTCCAGGATGCTGTGGTACTCACAAATCAGGATGTGCCAGGTTCCAGAGCTTTTTGTTGCAAGGGAAATGGCCATTTTTATTTCCTTTTTAAACAGTACAGTTCAGAGTATGAAGGCCTCAGTCTTCTGGATGACACAGAAGGTCTCAAATCCAGGGATTTTTTTCAAGCTCATGCTCTGTATTATGTGGTAGGCTGGGATTTTTTTGGTGCAGTGAGAAACAACTCTGCTTGTCTTGGACTTGGTTGACACAGTGTAAGGGCTTGTGACCAAGAATGAGCAGGATCCAGTTAAATCCAGGTTTTACATTTTCCCCTCTTAAGAAAGTAAGGCTTCGACATTTCCTGCCTGGGAAGTGGTGCAGTTTATCTTTAAGGAGGATAGAGAAATAAGAAATGAGTCTCACGTTGCATGGGTGACATCACTGGCTTTTGGCTCAGCGCTCTGTATGCTCGATCTGTAGGCTTCGGCCAAGGCTGCAGGGCTCGGTGTTTGAACAAGGAAAGATTCCCAGGTATACAGAAGACTGGATTTATTTGGGTTAAAAACGGTGAAATGAGATTTCTAAAGCTTGGGGACTCCAGCTCGCCTTCTGTTGCACTTGATCTCTACAAAATGGGTGAGTTATTCCCATTAAAGAGAAAGGGAGTGAAAATTTAAGGAGAAAAAAAAATATGTCTGAAAATATAACTGCTGATGCTGGGGATACGATTCGTATGAAGCTGCTGAGCTAAAAATCTCAGCTCCGACGTGGAGATCGGGCCATATGGCAGAGAAATGGTGCAGACCGAAAGCTGTTGACAACAGTTAGGGGCTGCTTTCCTCTCCCCGTGTAAGGTGTGTAGCTCCCCCACCCCACCCCCTCCGCCCTCCGCCCCGGTTTGTTTTGGTTCGGTTTCCCCCGACCTCCCTCCCCTCCCCGCTCCTCAGCATCCTCTCCGCCAGCCGTAGCCCTGCCCGCCTGCCTTCATCTTGCAGATGGCTAACGTGCCGCCGTGTTAGGAAAACTGTGCACAACACATCCCGGCTCCGGGGACGGAGGAAGCTTTTCAGATCCCAGCGGAAGGGGGGGCAGCAGCGTGTGTGTTGTGTGTGCGTGGAAGAAGGATGCCGGGGCCGAGGGCAGCCCCCCGTGCTGCCTAGCGGGCGGAGCGCGGCCGGCGCCGGGTCCTGCCGGGCTGCGGCTGCTCCCGCCGCTCTCCCCGGCCGGGAGCCGGGAGGCTGCCGGAGCGCTGTCCAGGACCGCCGGGGAAGGAAGGGAGCGCGGCGTTGGGCTGCCTGGATGAAAGCGCCGGCGAATAAAGCAGGCGAGCGAATGGCAAGGCTGGCAGAGAGAAGCCGAGATGTCTCCGAAGCCAAGATGCCAGTGACTGTCAGCGAAGTCTGCTGAGGGAGAGAGCCGTGCGTGCCCGCGTTTCCAGAGCCAGCCGGGGAGGGTATGCTTTAACCACGGTTTCAAACAGCAGCAGCAGCAGCAGCCAGCAACAACAACAGATTGCTCCCCCCTCTTGCTCCCTCCCCCTCGACCCCGCTTTAAACCCAAGCAAGTGACCGACCATTCAGACGACGATGCTCTTGCTGAGCCGCTGACAAAAGACAAGTCACCCATTCCTGTAAACGGGACAACTGGCTGCTTGCAAGTGGGAGATGTCAAGCTGTTGAACTTTTCTGCTCTGTGACGATGCTGTGGTGAGCTTGCTGATCTAAAAGCCATCTCTTCTGGATTTCTGAGCTGGCCGGATTGCAAGAGATTAATGGACTGATCAGCCATCAGGTTTCTTCAGGGGGATACATCCCTTCAGCCCCTGTCACTCGGGTGCTCGTGGTGAGGGAAGCAGGACATCTTTGTGTAGGTGGGTCACTGGCTCGCTCCCATTGGAGGTGCAAGGCTGTGTTTCTCCTCGCCAGGTCTCCTCTGTAGAGGAGGAGAGGCAGATGAGACTCCAGGACTGCCTCCAGGGCAGAACTTTGTAGCGCTCTCAGCATCCCTCTGCAGTGTGGATGTGAGCCACGGGAGTTGGGGATGTTTGAGGCAGACTCTGCCAAGTGACACCTAACTCCAGCTGCTCTGGAGGTTTTTGCGTGGTCTCACACCCAAGGGCTTTGCCTGTTGTGAAGATGTCCATGGTGTTTCTGTGAAGCTGAGGTATGGCTGCTGGAAGGTTACTGCTGTATGCTGGCCTGTCTTTAGCTCTGTGTGCCCTGGGCATGCTGGCTGTGGCAATCTGCTCTGACCATTGGTACGAAACTGATGCCAGGAAGCACAGAGAGAGGTGCAAGAGCATCACCACAAAGAGAAATGATCCTGGCTTCATTTATAACTCCAACAACAACCTGCCTCTCAGGGCCAGCAGGTCTAGGTTGGACCGCTGGGAAGGGAAACTCCTCTTGGCAAGAAACAGGAGGCAGATCTTTGCTATGAGCGCAGTCGACGAGTGCAACAGACAGTACAACTCGACCAACATGGGGCTCTGGAGGAAATGCCATCGACAGGGATTCGACCAGGAGCTGGAGGAGCTGATTGCCAAAGGTAAGGGCTGTTTTTTTACCAAACGAACATGCCAGGCCCTCCTGAGATGAGCAGGGGCTGAGCAGAGCCATTTGGGCTCACAGATGGGAGCTGCTGTTTCCAGCCAAATACCTCTCCTTGCACTGAGTGAACTGGCTGGGCTGGGCATTGCTTCCAGAAGCACTGCCAGGGCAGTTTCCCATGGGGTCTCCACTGCTGAGACATGGGGTTTGGGAGCAAGAAGGCAGTGGGGGTGAGAGCAGACACACCCCAGAATGTCTCTTTCATGTCTTTCTCTCTACACTTGATACAGTCTGCCCATCACCATGGTATCAGATTATTTTTCAAACACAAATAAAAATATTAATAAAGCAGACACTGGATTTTTTTTTTTAATTATGTTTGACCCTGGTGGCTCAGGCAAAGCATGGAATATTTTATTGGATGCTACATATGTCTGCATTTTCTGATTCCCTTACCAAATAACCCATCAGTCCTGAAATACACCATTTGCAGTGCTCACATGCAAGCTTTTTTAATTCTCAAATGGAGAGTAAACAAAGAGAAATGCTAAAGAGCAGGGGAAAACCCAGCTTGCTGTTTACACTGAGCTATGTTTTGGAATATTTTCAATATCTACAAAACCTTACATGAATTTATTAGAAAGGAATAATTTTCTCTTGGGGTGGAGATGCATCTGTTCGCCTGTAGCATTTTTGTGCTGTCTTTTTTTTTCTCTTTTGGTCCTTCATCTTAATTTTTCCCCCAAGGTAATGATTCAAGGTGATGGTCCCAAACATTTCTTTGATCTGAAGTATAGGAAGGGGACAGAGGTGTAAAACCCAGCCTAAACATCCTGTTTACAGAAGATGCATGTTTTTGCAGGATGATGAGGGTTTCAGTAAAGGATGACGGCATCCTTGCTACCCACAGCATGGTTACTCCATACTACAGGATAACATTTCCCTCCCATGGTTCTTTCCTTGCATTCAGAAGATTCCCCACTGGTTTATTTCCATCATAGTGAAATCACTGTTTCTTACACAGTGCAATCTTTTAAAATACTTGTCTGCTAAGTGTGTCCTCTATCCCAAACTCCCTTGACAGCCTGCCTTAATTCCCTCTTCAAACATTACGAGTGGAATTATTGCTCAAAGCTAATTATTCATGAGGGGTGATCTTTCACACATGTTTGCCCATGTATATGTTTTGTTCCTTATCTTTTGCAAGTGAGCGCTGGAGGTGAGTAGCATGTTACAGGTTTGCACCAAACCAGTACAAACAGATGGCATGCCAGGGAGCCTGGATCACTGATTGGGATTCTGTCTGTGTTGCTAGGGACCCTCGATATCTATCTGCTGTGTAACAACTCCTATGAAATAGATTGTTGTCTTCAGTCCCATTTGTAATGGGCAAGTGAACATGCCCAAAGCCTGTCAGTACCCAGACACCCCAGACACCCTGCTGCTGGTTTCAGTGCCAAGGGAGTCATTCCTATTCCCTGTCTAGGTGAGGATGTGTATATGCTGGGCTGCCGTGGAGGGCTGGATTGCTCTGCCACGTGTGCTCACTGTGCTTGGGGCATAAACAAATTCAACCTTGACAGCGGGCGAACATGTCACCAGAGCTCACCTTTGGCAAATGGAGTTGCAGTTATTAGAGAGGTTTTTCATCTTGAAATAAGTGAGACTCGTTCCTCTTTCCCTGCCTGCCTTGTCCTGAGTTCAGGAATGTCCGTTTCTCTTACCAGTAAAAGCTGAAATTGCCTGGCACTGGGTTGTCTGTAATGGCAGCTCTGCTAAGTGTTAACTGTAGAGAAAATGTGACAAATCAAGCTGAGGTGGTTAACTGCAGGAGAAGGTGGTCTTTGAAAGATCCTGCTGCAATTTGTGTGTGTTCCTGTGCGTATATGAGCGTGTGAATGAGCGTGTGTGAGTGTGTTTAGTGAACCAACTCAATATCCAGGATTCAGCTGGTAGCAAGGGATTCCCAGGCTCAGGTGCAGTGAGTGTTCCTGCACACACGCTCCTGGACATTCGTGTCTGCAAGTGGCCAGGGAGCCACTTCGAAGAGTCACTGCCCCAAGGTCAGAAGTGCAACTTGTGCACGAAAGGGAGGTATGTGCAAGCACGGGTGTGTGTCACTCCTTGCCTTCCTTAAAGGTCTTCTGATACACATTTAGAGAAGTTCATTGTACACTGAGAGAAATGTTAAAGGAAGGAGGCTCTGAACACTGAACACCAAACACCAAAATTTTAGTTCTTTTGATGGCCTTTCTGCAGTGAGGATCTGCCTATACTATAGCTCTCAGCTGTGATGAAGAGTCACACACAAATGCTATAGAGGTGTGTGTTCCTTTGGCACCTCCAGATTAAAACATAGAAAAGCAAATATAATGGCAGTTTGATAAAATAAAGTGTTTGACTTACTCAGAAATAAAAATGGAGATTTTTTTTTTATGATCCTCACATGATGAAAGTGAAGTAAGTGTTGTTGCTGTCCAATGCTGGGAACAGCTGTGAGTTCAAAACAAGGCAGGTATTCCAGGTTCAACCCAACATCATCTGTCCTGGAAGTAAAAACTAGAAGTAGTCTTTACTTCCATGACAGACACTTGCCTGGGAGTTAAAGGTTGCAGGGGTGGGTGCTGTGGGAGAGTATGCCCTGTGCAGGTGAAAAGGGCTGCAGATATTCTCTACCTGTAGCAATAAAATAACCTCACTGGGGTATGTATTTCTCCACAGATAAAATCTCTCTCTCTCTCTCTGAGCTCCAGGGCAAATACCTTATAAAAGAGAATGTTTAACTCTCCTTCCTCTCTTAATTTAATCTAGCACACCTCTTCCTGAACTAGATAAACTAATGCAGATTCTGGTCCCAAATATTGGGTGTAATGCTATAGGTAAGTGAATGTAAATTTTATTAAGTGTTTTGGGTTGTGTTTGTTTATTTGTTTTTAATACTGGACAGAATCTGTGATCCATTTATTTTAAAACAGATCCTACATTTTTCCCTAGGCAAAACTTTCAGTATTGAGAATGGTAGATTTGTCTGTTTTGACATTATGGTAGATTTGTCTATTGAGAATGGTAGATTTGTAAAGGATAACAAAAAATGGTCATTAAGAGCCTAACTAGCTTTGCAAATACCCTGCAGTTATTCTGCTTATGAACTCTGTTGAAATTAATACAAGCTATAGGCAATGGCTTGTGGTAGGATCAGGCACTGTGGTACTTGGTAGTATTCTGATACCAGTGATTTTAAAAAACAGTTCTGTTCCTAATAGGCTATGTAATTTCTGTTATTCTATTCTGTATTTTTTAATTTTTAATTTTTACATTCTGGGAAATAAATCAAGACTTTTAGGTTGGATTTTGCTAGATAAACTGGAGATCTGTTACTTAAGGTTTCTTTTACATAGATATAATAGACACTACTGCATATAAAAAAATAGTTGGTCCTTTTTATATTTCTCCTATCCTTTTTTTACATTTTCATAGAACCTATGTGCATACTTCAAAATAATACAATTAGGTAAATACGCAGTGAATTAAAGGAGATTGTCACAAGTAAACATAATCAGGGAGAGGCAGGCAAGCATGAGATGAGACCAAAGGCCTGAAGAATATTCTAAAGCTGCATGAAAATTAGGCAGTTAATTTGTTCTCTTTGTCATCATGGGAAAAAAAAATTAAACCAGAAACAACAGAAATTACAGTCAATAAAGAAATTATTGGAGTTGAACATGCAAACTGATGTTCTTCCTCACCTGAATAGTCTTTATTTCTGGGAATGGACTACTTGGACTAAGGGAAAACACTCTGGTACAGAAGAACCAGTCAAAAAGAAAGAGCTAACAGAGCTGTTCCTCTGCTTTCGCATCTCATCAAGTTTTTTAGCATCTCAGGACCAGAGTTTCACTCCTGATCCCTAAAGCCTTGCAGAGTCAGGAAATGCTGGCTCTGGGATTGTTCAGCACAATACTTTAAGCTTCTTCCAATTTTCAGGTGTTTGTCCAGGCTTCTCCACAAACTAAATAGCCCTGCTGCTTACGCCTCTTTGAACACAGTGTTCACTATATCCTATTAGGTCCACTCTTAGCCTGTTAACCACGGAATTTCTAGCAAAAGCAACAATCCCTCCCCCTAGCAACCACTCCCAGTGAACCAACTGCCTCCACCACTAAGCAAGCAGACAGCTGGAATGCAGGTAAGTGTCCACTCGTGGATGGGAGAAGGCAGAGTTTCTGTCCTGCTTTGGCAACCAGCAGCTCACCACTCCTTGGATACGACTTGTAGTGACCCAGAAAGAAGAATGGGAAGCCACAGAGACTGTCTGCATCCTGTGGCAATGTTGCTCAGATGCTTTCCTGCAGTAGTTGAGAGGAGAACAAGAAAGCAAAAAAAGGAATTACATCATTTAATTATAAAGGTACAATAAAGTAGATGAAGAAGTTGCACAGTAACCAGAGTCTGTTCCATTTAGACAATTACTACTCAGAGGACCTTTCATCTTGCCTTTGGAAGGCTGCCAGTTAAACCTGACTGGATGAAGCTCTGCTGCCTGCCATTGGAATCCAATTTTATTTAAAAAAAAATAGAATTTACAATGACCTTATTATTTCAACCCTCCTTTTACCTTCCTTCTTCCCCCGAGATCCATGGAACTCATAGTAAATCCTATTTTTAAAATATTTTATTGTGAGCATACTTAGCCCATGCCACCACTGAAAAAAAAACCCCTAAGTAATTCCTGTGCAGCCTACCTCCACCTCAAATAATATGCAAGATTTCTGGGATGAAAGCATTCTCTGTTTTGGTTTGTCAGATACAACTGAGGAAGACAGGCTTAACAGGACTACTCCAGCCGTCACTAGGGATTATTTATACACAAATGGAAAAGCCTGAAGAGAGGCTACTTGCAGCTATCTCTAGGACTAAAATGATTTATTTTTGTAAAACTGCTCGCAATAGTTTGTGATGCTCTGCATTGGACTTTTAAAATGAAATGGGTTTGCCAGG